TTTGAAGTACCGCTACACCAGTGTGTTATTCGTTCTATCCTGGGAGGAAATAATCCATTACCTTGGGTACTAGGAGGGGATTAAATTCCTTAAGGAAATACTGTGAATTCAGTGGGCTCGAATTTATTATTATTGTTTCATTACGTTAACTTATATTTTGCAGAATTAATATTTACAAATACAGCAATATTGACCGGGAATAACACTAGCAACAAATTGAGATCGTCAATATCTAAATCAGCTCAATACTCAGCAACAAATTATTTCTTTGTTTTTCTCTCATTCTTTTCTTTCTGCGATGCATAGAAATTATATTATACAATAGTGGGGGTCAAAGAATCTATATTCATTTATCAAGAATTCAAATGAGACTTGTTATAAAATGAGCCTTCACCAACCTCCATACATCATGGTGTTATTTGTATGTACATCATTCCCCTTTATAATTTTGAATTTAAGAAAATGATCTTTTTAGATCTCTTATATGTAAAAAAAAATCTTTTACGTATAAAAGTAAATCTCTCATGTGTAAAAAAAAAATATGATCATAAAACTAAAAACAAATTTGTAAAGAGCCAAAAAAACCAATTCACCCCTTTACATATAAGAGAATATCATGCATATTGGTATGTTTGGAAATGGAAAAGTCATGCTTTATGGGTTATGAAGATACATTCTGTCATAGTGCAAATTGCAGCTATACTATTAATAGATTAGGCTATCTTAAAGAATAAAATAAAGAACTCCTTTCATTTGATTCTCTCTCAAAAAATATGTATATATTTCTCTTCATAAATACAGATCACCTGATCCATTAGCCAGCTCCTGAGGATTAGAGTACCATAAACCTCAAGTTTTTGGATAAGTAATGCAATATGAGCATTATATATAGTTATCATCGTCATCCTATGATGCATTGTGTGATTTTACGAATCATTTATTAGTTGTCTCTCTTTATTTTTTATCCTGCTACTTCAAACCACAACATAACAATCTTTTTGTTTTAAATATTAATGTCGTTTGCTGCCATACCTCGTCATAACAGTTTTGCCAGTCGTTCCTCATCCATTTACACACTTGCTTTTACTTGACACATCCTTTGAAATTCAGAACACCTTATTTCCCCTCTTCTACTAGGCGAATAGAATTTTGGCATTGACATGATTTAAACATTTATAGAAGTACTAAAAGGTCAGGGTCCAAAGCCCCATTTCAAGTTTGAGTCAGTAATCTGTTTTTGAGTCAACCACCCCAATAAAGCTTATGTTCACAAGTCTTCTCATACAAGTTGGCTATGTATTTTAAGTAGCTTGACCAACAAAATCCCAAATAACCAGTCCTGCTTTCCCTTGGCTGCCTGTCTACCTGATCACATGTCAAAATCATAAGAGAATTAGCCAAAACCACTGCAGAAGCGAGATGCGTTAAAATTTTCTGCTCCTGGTTTACAAAAAGGAGGGACTTCGTTTTTTTATTCTTTCAAATACTTTGGGTCTGTAATATAAGGTAACGTGGAGATTGACGAAGATGTTGCTCGCCGTATTGGAGCGAGGTAGATGAAATGGAGGCTTGCATAAGGAGTTTTGTGTTATAAAAATGTGCCACCTAAACTTTAAGGCAAGTTTTACAGAGTGGTGGTTAGGCCGACTATGTTGTATGAGGCTGAGTGTTGGCCCGTCAAGAAATCTCATGTCTAGAAGATGAAAGTAGTTGAAATGAGGATGTTGAGATGGATGTGTGGGCATACCAGGAAAGACAAGATTAGGAACGAAGTGATTAGGGACATGGTGGGAGTGGCCCCCGTGAAGGACAAGTTGCGAGAATCGAGGCTGAGATGGTTCGGACATGTGAAGAGGCGAGACATATCTGCCCGGTTAGAAGGTGTGAGACATTGACCATGGCAGGTCCGAGGAAGGGCAAGGGTAGGCCTAAGAAGTACTGGGGTGAGATGATTAGTCAGGACATAACAATGCTTCAACTTACCAAGGACATGACCCTTGATACAAAGGTGTGGAGGACGAGAATTAGGGTGGAAGGTTGACAAATAGTCGTAAGCCTCTCCTAGGCTTGCCTGTATTACTAGTTCTATTGTTGTATTTTCTTATTCATGTTTTGTATCCATACATGCTGTGTTATTCGCTTTCATTACCATGCTACCTTGTTACAATTATTTGTTGCTTTAGTTTCAATGTTACTTAAGTTGAGAGTCTACCGGAAACAAACTCTCTATCTTTATAAGGTAGGATTAAGGTCAGCCTACACACTACCCTTCTCAGATCCCACTTGTGAGATTACACTGGGTTTGTTGTTGTTGCTTTTGATGTCATGCTTTAAGGTGAAAAACCTCCAACAAAGATAGTGACATCCGATCAGAAGAAAATCAAATATTGGATATCAAAATAGACAGAGTGCAGTGAAACAAAACATTTCAACCAATATGGTGTTTGAGTAAATTCAGAAAATATTATTATAGAACCAGGCACAGCAACATTGTCACCAGATTGAAACAAGAAAAAGCAACAACCATTGTAAAGCTAACTAAGTTAAAATTAAAAGCTATTTAATGCTCTAATTCAATAGGTTCAAAAGTGCTCATCTTCGACATTGAAAACTCCAAGGACAGCATTATTGTGGTGGAGACACGATAGCATGATGATCTAGCCCGAAGCAGTTTTCTTTTGTTGGAAGACAACAGCGTAAACTGGGACTATTACACCAATGGCGACTGCAGACCAGACACCAACAGTCATCTTCAGCTTCTGGTGTGACATCCTGTCCAAGTTGTACATGTGCTTTGCGTGAAGGTAGAAAGGTTCATCATGCCCATGACCTCCTCCCATTCGCTTAATGCCTGTTGAGTGGATCTCTCTCTTCACTGACCAAACAATGAATTTCAATTATCA